CATATTACCTTCACTCAACAATTTCATTTTCATTTCACCAGAACAATCAATCAATAGTTATACGGAGTATTGGTAATGTACCAAATGAGGGGATTTATAGGTTGATCCCGGGTATTGGGTGAATTTTGTTTATCTCAACCACCACGCAGATTTAAAGTACAACAAATTAAAACTCGCTAGAGTTACCATCACAACTATTCAAGGTACCAGACTATACTAGTAGCCTACCTTACAACAATCTATGATGCTACGTACCATATATATATATATATATATATATATATATATATATATATATATGTTTATACACAATTTGACTCTTTTGTTGATCCCCGAGATCATTTATGAGTTCTTCCTTACGAAATTAACTATCAAGCTATTGGATGAGGATGAGATACGGATTACTAATTAGTACCATGGTATTCTTAATTAGTCTTATACGAAATATAATAGTACGGCAATAAATGTTAAAATTACTGAGCCTCCATATCTATGAACTTTCCTTAATAAACTGCAAGTATTTCAAACTAAATAATTAGCTTATTGAGTGAAAATCACACAATGATGCCGTGTCGAATTCTCCTCTCGGAAGCAAACCGTACAGGTGAGTACATAAATTTATGGAATTTAGTACATACAGTTTAGCTTAGGATAATAATTAGTACAAGTACTACAATACTAAAACAACAAACCCTCCAACATTATTAAGATTATTTCATAAAAAGACTCGGCCAAGGCAACCGCGTTTTAATGAAAGATTTAATTAAACTTGGCCATTACAATGTCTGTCTCCCAGGTCAAATCTAAGCAACAAGAAGATTTATAATATATTCAAGTAAGTCTCTCTGATAATAGCAGTTTATATTTTCAAAAATGTTCAACAATTGAACAACATTACAGCTAATATTGGTTACTTAACATTGGAAAATGGCACAAACGTCAGAAATCGTCGTGCGTGTATAAGATAGGAATCAAATCCAATTGTTCATTGTTTAACCTTATAATATAAGGTTAATGTAATCGTAACCAATGCAAGTATTTCATTAATTTCTATTGGAGAATATTAAGCTTGATCGTCGAAGGTGAACATTAATCCTAATCCGTAGGTTTGGGTGCAAATTTGTCACTAGTTTTGTTTACGTACGTGTTAGTGTATTTTGTTATTTCGTAAATGACCTCGTATTATAACATCGTTTCGAGCATGTCACTGTTACAAAAGATCATCAATAAACAAAAATGCCAGTTGGCATGTCAGTGTTTCTTGCAACAACTCGCCTTAATTTTCTAGCTCTGCCTCCTATATATACATTTACCAATTTTTGTAAGAAATCTAAGGGAATGCATGTAAGATAGGAAGCAATAACACAAACTACAAAAATGGAAGGAAAATTCACTAACTGGTCAGCTGAAAACGCAACCAAAGCCTTCCTCGAAACCTTAAAATTGGTAAGTACATGTACCACTCTCATAGCCACCCGTGGTTTTTATCTTTTTTTTTCAAGTTTTCAGTGTTACCATATCGTGTTATCTTTAACTTTTTATCTATTTCCGTCATTTTTTTCTTGGGACTAATTTTGTTTGTTTATTCTTTGATGTAATGCAGGGAATTAAGAAGCCTACTGGTGAGCTGGATGTATCGGAATTCATCTCAGCTATAGCAGCAGGAAATAATGCACAACTTATGGTTGTTACGTGTGGTGAGGACACGAGCCTAACTACGCTACTAGCGCTAGTGGCCGCGGCTCATCAAACTGGAGGCCGTGTTGTTTGCATATTTCGCGGTCTAGAGGAATTTCAATCAACCATGCAAGCCTTTGGGCAAGACACCACAAACCTAATCGAGTTTATCATTGGTGATGCTGAGAGGCTAATCCTAGAAGAATTTAAGGACGCGGATTTTGTACTAAATGATTGTAAGCTCATGAATCACGAAGCAATTCTTCGAGCAGTGCAAGTAAATAGTGGGAGGAAGTGTAAGGGGGCTATAGTGTTGGGGTGTAATGCATTTTGTTCGAGTTCATGGGAATGGGCCGGGGTGAGGACTCAATTGTTGCCTATTGGAGAAGGTTTGTTAGTGACTAGAATCGCGGGTGCTAATGAGATGAGAGAACGAGGGAAGGATGGTCGTCGTGGTAGCTTTGGAAGGAAGAGTAAATGGGTTGTTAAAGTAGATCATCATACAGGAGAAGAACATGTGTTTAGAGTTTCATGCCCTAATGAGGATTAAGAAAGAGATGGATGATTAAGGGATGGATAATTACCTTGTTTAATGCTATGAAATAAGCAAAAGTATTGTTTTCATAGCATTATTATTGGTTCATGGCATGAGTATAATCTATGGTATGTAATTGTATTAGATTCTTTGAAAGTAAAGCTAAGAAGTTGTAGATATATTTAATGGTGTAAGAGTTTGTAGTATGTAATGTAATACTCATATCATGCATGCCTTATTGCAAAGGAAAGGGACTCGTTTTCCCCTTGATTAGCCTAATTCTTTCTCCCAAATTCTCAAAAAGACTATTTATTACGTTCTACAACCTCCGTTACATTATCTCAAGACCTTATTATCACATGAATGATGTGATTATACGTATAAAAACCTTACATAATAGTTGTGTCGAATTTATATATCAAATTACAATCACATAATTATAGATCATTATTATTTCAGAAAATATAAAAGTGTAATTTAGTCTTATTAAAATGATATTATTATGTGTAATATGACAATTACCTACCATATAAGAACGAAAGGAGTATTAAAATAATATTTAACTAAACAACGCAAAGAAAAATATGCTAATAATAAAGCTCCATATGCTTAATAAGCCAAACCCATTTTATATATTTAAAATTGAGTTTACCAACAAGATTATAAATTGTAGAGTAGAGATAGATATAGAGCATCCCTGGCGACATCTTGTTGCATTTGAATTGTTATGGATGTAATGAGGAAGAAATTATTGTATGGTTTTAAAATGGTACTTCTTTCTATTTTACTTCGTATATTGTAATCTGATTAGTTACTACGAATTTACGATATGTATGATAACCAATTAACCACCCCTTTAGTGAGGGACCAAAAAACATTGGCACGTAACCATGCAATAATTGCTTATTTCATTAAAAAATAAAATTAAAAATTAAAAAAAAAATAAAAAAATAAAAAAGATTATTCAGGGTGTAATTACTCAGTATATGAGTAGTTTTTGGTATTTTTAAGTCAAAACAAAATTCTAATTCCTTTAGTTTTGGCTCTAAAAATATTATAATAGATCACTTTTTACCAGTAGCACCTTTTAAATCAATACTCTATAAGTTATACAAGTAATAATTATTAGTTTTGGAAAAATATTCTTGAAAATACTATGACCAATAATTATATTGATTTTCCCTAATAACTAGATGACTATATCAACAGTCAAATAACCAATATATACAAGATACAACTGTTCAAATTAACCAAATAAAACATCCAACATCTAGTAGTCAAATAAACATGACATACATATCAGATGATACAACCAAAATTCAAATACTATTAAGGTTGAGGTGGTGAAATAGTGACATCGCTTTCCACTTTATATCCCTGAGATCTAGGAATTAAACGTCATGGGACTCATTTGAGGGATTTTCCTTATCTCTCCCCCTTCAACGAATAGCAAAATACTATTCGTTTTTCTATTTTATTTTTTGTTCTCACCTGCAAATAGCCAAATGTCATCAACAAATGAATTGAAATCTATTCGATTACACATAACATAGAAAATCCAAAATAAAATTGATCCAATTCAAATAACCAGCTTGCAACTTCTATTAGAACTTGTCTCCATCAAATCCTCTCCTCAACACCATCACCCCAAAAAAAAGGTATTGAAAATGTGTTAGCAAGAATGCCAAATAGAAGAAGTTAAGAAGAGGAAAGACAAAGAGTAAGACAACTAAAATATACAAGTACTTGTGATTGTCACATGTTGGTGTGTTAGTGTGCTACTACTTGTTTATAAGCTCTTTTCAAAAGTATCGCTCTATATGTTTGTCTTTTTTCTTTGTGTTTTCTCTATCTTTTTGTTGTTATTTTTCTATTGCATAAAACAATGTGCCTACTTATTTGTGTGCAACAATCTTTATATATAATGCTAATTTATCTCCATTTTGGGAACTTAAAAACTTTCTTGGCCTTAACATACAAATATAAACGTCAAGGTACAGTGGTCCAAGAACTTGGCATTTTTTCAATTTAATGAGATTGTTTTATTATTATTAGCAAAATAAAAGCAAATAATATAAAGATTAGTGGTAGTAAATTTATATTGGACCATACTACTATATATGACAAAAATAAGGAAATTATAGTTATGAAAAAGACTTTTGCCTAAGTAGTAAGTACGAAAAAAACAGCAATTTGAATGTGTGATGATGATGTCATTAGAGAAAAAAAGATTAATGTCATCTTAATGTGAAGTTGATTTTAAAAATAAAGACACAAAGATAATTGATTTCCTATAATGAGTTCAAGGAAATTTAAGACTTTTGCTTCAATGTGAAGTTAGTTCATTAAAATTCTATTGATAGGACATTTCATAATTATTCAAGAAATTTGTTCACAATGTTTTTTGAAGGTTTGAAGTAGTAATAAGTCATTAACGGTATAACCATAAGATGGACATTTGGATAATACAAGAGAGAACAATGGTATATACTTACCCTTAAGGTTGCATGTAAGAAATTTTTTTTTGAATACGTAAAACAAGCTTTAATCAACACAAGATTTTTATCACGCATTCTTAAATTGCTACCATTTGGTCAAGTGCTTGTAGGATGTGCGGTTGAATTTGCTAGTACTACGTTTAAAAATTAACGAATTTAGCTTGTGGTAAATGAAGACTATTCATTCTTCCATATTCTTTTTAATATTATAGTAAAACGATTCTTCCTACTACATCAGTAAATTGCCATGCAAATAAATACTGTATGAATTTGATTGAAGAATCAAGTACTACTAAGAACAGAAGATCACATTTTCTCATTGCATTTCCCAGAAAACACATCAGTTAAAACAAGTACCTACAGTCTACAAATCACAATCGACTCCAGGAAACAAATACTTAATTTAGTCCTGAAGACAAGAAAATTCTAAACAGATAATGACACTTAATTAGCACCAATTAGTCCTGAAGTCATGGAGATCGATAACAATTAGTACAACTACCTAAGTCTAGGATGATTGTATCCATCGAAGGCCTTTCGTTAGGCAATTCAAGAGTACAACTCAAAGCTATTTTTGCAAGCTTAGATGCCTCAAACTCTGAGAATTTTCCATGAAGATTTGAATCCACATATTCTTGAGATCGCAATGATTCAGCACCAACACGAATGAAATTGCTTATTTTCCTCCTCCCTGAAATGATTTGAAACACAAGCATGCCAAAAGCGTAGACATCACTCTTCTCAGTGAACTTGCCAGTTGTGGTGTACTCGGGAGCCAAGTATCCCATTGCTGCACTCGCTTTGAGTGCTGAGAACACGGTATCATTGGTAAGGAGCTTGTAGAGGCCACAGTCAGCGAGTACAGGGTTGAACCGTTTGTCTATCAGAACCTTCTCAGCTGAAATGTTCTGGTGAATTAGCGCTGGCTTGCTGGTTTTGGAGCTGTGCATATATTGAATTCCTGCATATAGGAAAACAGCCAAAAATCATGTTAGTTTAGGTGCAGGACAGTAATGTATCTGTCAATCATGAATTAAGTAAGATGCTCATCTGAAACCACCCAACGATTTGGAGTAATCCGTTGCTTAATCATTCGAAAAAACCCTTAAATATGAAGGACTGCCAGGCAGAGGAAACAGAACTAACCTTTGGCGATGCCATGAATGATCCAGACACGAGTAGACCATTCGAGGACATTTGCATCTCCATCTTTCAGGTCAAGGTACTTAAGTAAAATCCCATTGGGAACAAAGTCATAGACCAAGAAGCATTCACCCCTTCCCCTTGAACAACAAAAGCCTCTCAACCTAACCAGATTTTCGTGCCTCAAAGAGGTCAAAACATTCAAACCCTTCAGAAACTCAGCCTCCTCAGACTTGCAACTACTCTTACTGATCCTCTTGACAGCAACAACTGAACCATCTCTCAAGACTCCTCTAAACACAGCCGACATACCACTCTTACCCAACAAGTTAGATGGTGAGAAGTGCTGAGTAGCACATTCTACTTCCTCCAAATTAAACCGAAATCCTTGAATTACATCATTAGAAAACCCATTGAAACTCCTAACATCAGATAATGGATCCCATCCATTAGGATACTCAAGACTAATCAGAGGAGAACCATTTTTCCTACAGAACTCCCTAGGCTGATCAATACTAAGACGGGTATCAGATAACTCCAATGAACTCCCGAGTTTCTGCTTTGTACGGCGATATTTAGCAAAGATGAAAACACTAACAAGTGACAATGCAAGGATCACAACCACAACTCCTACAGCAACAGAAGCATGAGAACTTTTTCGAGTGGTTTTCGAGCACTCAGTTTGGCTACAATTAGGAAGCTTAACATTAGCTGTTTCGGGGATTTCTTTCCTAGGTAAACCATTCGACGATGCAGCCCCTCCTCCATAAGGTTCAGGCCTGATTTGACCAAGGTGATCAGAATCAGGACAACTTCTCAAAGTAAGAAAACCAACTCCACATAATCCTGGATTGTTTGCATACTTAAACGCTTCATTTAATCTCAGTAAAGCTGCAAAAAGATCAAGTACAAAACAAACATCAATCAATCTAGCATTCTGTTTCTAAAATTGCTGTCTCAAACGATTAGAAATAAGGTTGCGTACACTAAACCTCCTCGACTAAACTCACCAGGGGAAACAGTGCCAGAAAGAGTGTTGTTTCGAATGTCAAGAGATTCGAGCAATGGAGCTTCAGCAATTGGTGTTGGGATTGAACCAAAGAGATGATTGAAGCTCAAATCAAGCCTGAGTAGGGTTTCTATGTGTCCTAAACTTGCAGGAATTGCACCTGTTAGGTGATTAGACTGCAATGCAAGAACACTTAACTTCCTCAAAGATCCCAGTTGTGTTGGTATGCTTCCTGTTAGCTGATTGTAGCCTAATTGCAGAACTGAAAAAAGTATTAAAAAAAAAATTAAAAAAATTGATGGAAAAAAATTAAAAATAAAATAAAAGAAATTGAAATGATGTAAGCAAAAGAGAACATACATTCTGCATTTTGAAAGTACAACTAAAACAAGAGAAACAAGTTTGAATTTTAGAAATTAATGATATATACCTAACACCACTTTGCTATCTTAACTAAACTGTTCCCACAAAAAAAAAAAAAAAAAAAGAAAAGAAAAAAATTGTAATATATTAAATGTTCATATAATTTGCTGTTTTTGTTGTACCTCTCATGAACATGCAAGTATACAAGGAGACAGGAGTAGATTGTACAAAAAACCAGGGACATTACTAAAATTTAGTTCATGAAGTTTATGTTAATATAGTCATAAACACTAAACCACTAACTTGAAAAAAAAAAAAAAAAAAAAAGCATGAACAAGTAAAAAAGAATCTCTCCTGAAAACAAAAGAAATTGAATAAATTAAATCACTTTTTAAAACGACAAAACTAACAATTTTTCATCAAGTTCAAAACTTTTACTCCAAAAACAGATTCTTCTTCTTTTTTGGTTCAAATTTAAAGAAACTCAAGAACAAGAAGTAGAAAACTAACCTTGAAGATTATCGAGGTGAGAAATCTGAGGAGGAATAACCCCAGAAATATTATTAACATCAAGATAAAGATCAACCAACTCAGACAAAGAACCAATCTCCTTAGGAATCTCACCACTAAGAGAATTATAATGCAAGTAAATTCCAGTCAAATGTTTAAGCCCAGAAATTGCAGGAGAAAGCTGACCATTTAACCCTTTTCCTTGCAATGAAATGTTAGCCACTTGACCATTATGGTTGCAACCCACACCATCAAAGGTCCCACCACATGGGTCACCATTCTTGGACCATGATGAAAGGTGTAAGTTTGATGGGTCAAGTGATGCTTTTAGGGTTAAAAGTGATTCAAGTTCTGGGTTTGATGTTGAAAAAACAGGGGAAGTAAAACAGAGAAGGTTGAAGATGAACAAGATTAGTAATAACATGATTAATTTGATTAATTAATCTTGGGTTGTTTTGAAAGATTTAAGGGGGTGATTAAAGGGGTTAATTTGGTTTTTGTAATGTTTTTTTTTTTTTGGTTGGTTTGTGTTTATGTTGTTGGCATTGTAGTTAGTTTGTTGTTTATGGTTTTGTGCTTTTGGGATTTTTGAGGTTTTGGGTTTTGGAAATTAATAGCACAAATTTAATTAGTTTTGGAATCCAATCAAAAGATTTGTTTGAAATGAATATTTGTGCTTTAATTAAAAATGAAAAGGGTCAGTGCTCAGTGGAGTACTGGAGTGTGAAATTCTCTCTCTAACCTACTATTGAGTGTTTGAAGTGGACAAACAGAAATGAGTCCCAGCAGTCTCTAAAAAAAGATGGATGTTTGGGTTTTTCTTTATTTTTATTTTTATTTTTATTTTTTGAGACCAAGGCAGGCAAGGATAACTAGGAGGGACAGTTGGTGTGCAATTTACCACATATTAAAAAAGAAAAAAAATGCATGCATAGGGTTTGGCCTTGATAATTTACTTTAACAATGATCATGACTTGTAAATTGTAATTGACTCATGTCTAGATATAACAACGATCCTCAAGTATTAGTCCAATTCATTAAAGTGGAAAAATAGTAAGATTACTATTAGAAGATTAATTTTCATCATGTATACTTTAATATAGCCTATTTAGGTGTATATCTAACTGGTTATCCCTTTAAAAAAATTAAAACCATTTACCACCTGAATTCTCATTTGTATTATTATAACCTGAATTTTATTATCCGTTTATGCTCTTTTAACTAGTTTTAATCCCTCTTTCTTTGTTCACAACTTCACAAATCCCTTACCTTTTTACAAAAAGTGAGGATATATTCCAAGCTTAGTGAAGAAATGGTTATGATATACGAAGTATTTTATCAAAGTCTCATCCTTATAAATGTATTTTAGACAAAATAGGTTAACAAAATTTTTACACATACATATAAATTGTTTTCACAACTTAAAAAATAAAATGGAATCGAACATAATTGAAAACGCATGCAATGTCTACATCAACAGACAACGGTTGCATGACAATTAATCTTTATAGTAAAAAAATTCAATGAAATTATAAAACCAAGTTAATCCTACTAAAATGTTTTTGTTAGTCAAACATCCTTAAAAATTAGCCAAAACCACCATGTAATTACTTTTCTTGCCAAATTTACTACGTGGTATTTTTCGATTGATTCGTATTTATTGGCTTAAAATAAATTGTCATTCGTTAGTTTTAGGCCTTGTTTAGTTCACCTTATTTTTACTTATTTCAGAAAAAATAAGTTAAGACCAGATCATATCAGAAAAAATAAGTTCAGATTAGAAAAAATAAGTTCAGATCAGATCTTTTTCGGGGTTTTCTGATGTCCTGTGGGAGAGTTACAATTCCGAGACTGGAACCGGACGCCTGTACCTGCAAAACAAACGGATGCTCCGGATGACTGGAGATCCGCCTCCAACGGTCAAGTTAGTACTTGCTTAAGGAGTAATTAATGCGGAAATTAAAGTGATTGGGTCTCTCTAGGTGAGAGTGTTTAATGTGCGTAATCCCCCTTAATGAGGATTAAGGGAGGTATTTATAACCTCGGGAAACGTGCCAATCCTAGGTTTAGGTTAACCTTGGGCTGATTGGGCTTCCCTCGGAAGTTGGGCCTAGGTGGCCGGTTTCTCCATTAGACATGGAGTATGCCACGTGTCATGACATAATAGGTCCAGGGTGGACGAATAAGCGTGTGCCACGTGGCAAGCCCTGACAGTTCCAACTGGGGGACACTTGGCAGGACCTGATTGGCCCACGTGGCGCATTCCGATTGGTGGGAGCAAAATCCCCTAATCATTTGCCCCTCACAGGTGGCACGTGACTGGTCACGTGTTACCTGTGACAGGTGTCGCCCTGTAACAGGCGACGACCTGCTACAGGTGTCACTCGGCGAAAGGCCGAGAGATTCTCCCGCCAAAATTTTGAATTCTGGAAGTGACCCTTCGCCTTCTCACTTCGCCTATATAAGGGAGTGTTGACTTCGGTCATTTTCACACTTGAGAACTTTTTGAGAGAACATTCGGACCCCTGAACTTGCTCTGACATTTTGGACCCTTTATGCCTACCGCCTGCTCTGACAAGCCGACTGCAAAGGATTTTCAGAACTCCATCAATGTCACTCGTTCAGGTAACCGTCGGTTCTCTTACTCTTAATTTTCTCTTTATTTTATTCTTTTTTGAAATGGCACCACGGAAGCACACGACACGACCTAGGTTAGTGATCAGCCGGTCACCGGGGACGGCTGAATCTAGGACTAGGAGTGCCGCCTGCTCTTTTCCGGACCCATCTTTTCCCTTTATACAAAGTCTGACTGTCTCTGTGTCTATGCAGAACATGATGGCCAGAACAAAAAGAACTGCTAGGATTTCGAACTCAGACAGCTCCTCCCACAGGGTGCCGATTAGTGAAACATCTGACCAGGCGCCAGATGTGGAAGTGAACCAGAGCGGCTTGAAAGTCGACAGTTCTGAGGGAGGAGTCAAAGTGACCCCTTCCAATTTTACAGTTGACAAGTCTACATTCTCTCCTGATCTTTTTAAAGGAGAGGAGGTGGGCCCCTCTGGGAGAGGGGAGGAGTCGTCCTCTTCGGACTCGTCAGAGGACGAATCCGAGTCTAGCTCTTCTGGCCATGCTTCTCTGGACACAGAAGAGAAAAACAGTCGCCTACAAGAGGCGAGGCTTTCTCACGCAGTTGAGAAGGGGGACAATTGGGCGGAGCCATCCGCCTCTTACCGAGAGCAAAATACCCCCTACTACTGCACTGTCCCACGGGGCCGGATAACGGCCATGCAAGAGAAAGTGGGGAGCTTTATTGCGAACCACACAATGGGCCCTAGCTTTTTAGTGTTCGTGCCGGATCCAGAAGACACAGTCGTCTGGCCGGCTGGTACTAGTTATGATGGCGCCTGCTTTGGCTGCTACGAGGCGGCCATCAAGGCTGGGATGCGCTTCCCACTACATCCGGCTGTTCAGCGGATCTTGGATGGGTATGACTTGGGGTTATGGCAGTTAGCCCCGAACTCCTGGGTCAACGTACTCGGCTATGTGGCCGGGTGCGAACTGTACGGGGTGGAGCCAAACTTCGAGTCTTTCGCCCACATGAACTACCTCAGCCGGACCCCTAAGGCAGGCGGTACCGGCTGGTATCAATTGACGAGCCACAGAGGCTACCTCATGACAGCGGCAAAGCAAAGCAAACAAGTGGAAGGACTGGCGAAGCACCTTCCTTATCATTGAGAGTTCAGACACAGAGCTGAACAAGCGCTTCAACAGGTGGAATAGGAATCCGCCTCTTCTTGCAGGCGGCCGCAGCATGCCGCCTGTTCCCTCCAAAGCTAAGAGAGAGATCCTGGATAAAGGACTCTTTAAAGTAGAGTCGAGGGTTGACTCTACTTCAGGGGTACGAGAGCAAGTACCCCTGCACTGCGTCCCGAGCTTCAAATGGCTCTACGACGAGTACTTTTTGGTCGCCTGTGGCCTCGGCAGTCGGTGCTCAAGAGGTAGCCGGCCTGTCGAATACTCTGTTTTACCATGCATTTCTGTTATGACTTTTTATTAACTTTGCTATTTGTTTTTGCAGCGGACGCCATGAGCAAAATTACCGCCTCCAAGACTGCGGCGGCCATGTTGCGGGCCTCCATCATGCAACAGTCTTCAACCGACTCCCCCAATAAGGGGGCACCCTTGGTGAGCTTCGAACCTTTCACTCTCTTTTTTTGAGTTGGGTTTATGCATATACTGACCGAGTGTTTGTTTTGTTGTTTTTTTTTTTTTTTAGACGGGAGCTCCAAGAGCTTCTTCTTCCCAACAGCCGGACTCCAAGACCCGGAGGACGACTGTTGCGAGCTCTCCTGGTTCTACCAGGAAACATGCGGCGGCTGAGAAGCAGCCGGCCACTCCTTCTAAAACTCCAGCTGGGCCACCTAGAAGTATGAAATTGTCCTTGTAAATTTTAGACTTGCTCCCTTCTTTACTAGGTCTAACCCGTTTGTTTATGCTTGATGCAGCCGGCCCTCAGGAGCCTGACTTGGTCGAGGTGGCCAAGTCTATGATCAAGGCCGTTCCTCCGGCTGAAAGGGAGGCGGTCAGGGGTGTCGGCACCCTTGACCTAGACAGGATTGCAGGGGTCCTTGCTGAGGTATACTTAGCATATTTTTGAGTATTTGAATTCCAGGACGCCTGTTTTTTGTTTGGAAACTGACGCATGTTCCCTTTTTACTTAGGCCCTGCTCCGAGTGAACGGCCTCCGTAAGCCGCTTGACAGGAAGAACAAAGAGGTAAAGGTTGCAAAAGCTATGGCCGCCTCTGACTGTGATAAGGCAATGTTTCAAATTGCCCAAAATGAGGTTCTGACAATTGACATTCTTTATTATCAGGCGCAGGCTACTTCTGCCATCCGGGCTCAGTTAGAGGCGGCCCAGAAGAGAAATAACGAGCTGGAGGCGACCATCAACAATCTCAAGGCCGAGCTGAGACCTCTTCGCCAAAAGATGTCCTCATACGACACCTTGGAGAAATCCTTGGCGCACGTAAAGGAACGCCTGGTGACCCAGGAGAAGAGTCTTACTCAGGAGCTCTCGGAAAAGGCCGAGCAAGAAAAGAATGAGCTGGTCCGGGAGATGATGGAAGACTCTGCTCAAATCCAGCGCATGACCTGGGGCCGCCTCTTCCCCAATGCCGACTATTCCTCCTGGGAAAAAACGTACCGCCAGTGTTCTGATAGATATAATCAAGAGATCCTGGCGGCTGCTGAGGACGAGGCGTTGGAGGAGGAGGAGCCGGTAGTGGCGCTTGTGCCGCTTGGGGGTAATGCATCGAAGAAGGATGCAGCTGAAGCCGAGTCCAGCAAAAAGAGTGCTGACCAGGCGGCAGCTGCTAATATTGAAGATCTGCCCCCTTCTTAAGCTTTATGTCTTCTTTTCACGGCCTGCGTGCCGTTTGTTTGTATTTACCCGGCCAGGGGGCCGGGGTTCTGAATATTTGGCCAGTCTTTAATGACCGGCTTCTTTTTATGCCAAAATATTTCATTTTTGTTTTGTTTCAAATTTGTTTAAGTATCGAATATTCTGATATCCAGTTGCACACTATACCGACTGTTTTGCATGGCCGATAGTTGCGGATAGGTACGAGTTATACGAGTTAGTTAGTCACGCCACCTATGCCCCTGGACGACTGGTTGTCTGTTTCTAGGCTAAGCGATCAGTCGGCCACTTTAAAGAATGGATTTCCTTCAACCAAGTAGGAAGGTGGTTTCCTACCTGCCTTGTTTGTTTTTTAAGCTAGAGACTCTAGTCGGTCCAGGCCGACTGGTCCCCGCCACTTTTAATCTAGTGTGAACAAGCGCTGTATGAACACCTTTTTAGCCTCATACTAAAAATTTTAAAGAGTGACCATGGAAACATAATTGTTACCTAGTCGCCAAGTGACTGAGTAGTAGAGTTATCAAGCGGTGGGTACCAGTTGTTCCCCTTTATTCGCCAATGTTTGTTGGCTATTAACTCATAAGATACTAACTGTTTTTATCCCAAGTAGTTCAGTCGGTCGGTTGACACGGATGGTTACTGCGAACACTTGCTTGACCTGATTAGTCAGTTAAGTGAGAGGTATTCTTGTCCGGGAAACGCCTACGTGGTTGTCTTGGTTAGACAGTCGTATAGGTGTCGTGTAATGATTTTATAGAACAATGTTCCACCCAAAAGGGAGCTGCTCTCTGCGACGAATTTCATCCGGATGGATGC